TTTTACCCATGCTCTAACTTTGGACCATATCCAAGGCCCAATTCCAACTAATCCTTATAAGTCCACTCATGGCCCACTAAGGCCCACTAATGGCCCAATTTTCTAAATTGGGTCTAACTTCTCAAATGGGCCTTCCCTAAGCCTAATCATGTCCTTGGTCCCAAATCTGACTTCTGATGGCCCACTAAGGCCCAATAACTGATACGTCTAATAGTTGGCCCAAACCAAGGCCTAAAAGGTAAAAGCCCAATACTGTCGAGTATGTGGGGCGTACTCCTCTGTACGCATGGCATACCTGCTGCATGGCTTGTACGCTGCGCGTACTGGCTGCTACGCCCAATGTACTACCCTGTTAAGCTACTTTTCCCATTAAGCACTTAATACTCAACTCCAGAGGCTATAACTACAGATCCAAGTCCTTTTTAATGTCCTAATCCATAAAGTCGATCACTTGGTGGCTTGCAACCCACCAAATGAGCCCAAACATAGAACAATACCAACTAACTCCATGGAAATGGCTAAATCTCATGCATGGTTCCATAAAAGCCTCAAAGATTGAAACCTTACTGCTAAAGGGATGCTTTGAGCTCCAAGGGTTGCAACCCTAAGCTCAAAAACGAAGTTGCATGATAAAGATCCAACCTTTGGACCTAAAAAGGTCCAAAACTCCATAATCTTAGATCTAAGCTTCTAAGAGGAAAGTTAGGAGCTTTATACCTCCTTTGAGTGCCAAAAGATGAAATAGTCTCAGATCCTTGAGCTCAAGATACTCAAGTTCTTCTTCTCCAAATCCTCTTCACTTCTTCCAAGATTTTCTTCACCAAAAACAAGCTCAAGAGGTCAAACACACACAACAATGGAGTATGAGGCGTATTAGGGTTTTCTGAGGGTGAGGGGCTGGTAAGGACACCAGGGGGTGGCTATAATGGGGTATTTATATGTCTTAAACCCTAAAAATTAGGGTTTTGACATCTGGTCACGTACGCTGCGCGTACTCCTGGTACTATGCGCGTACGTACGCCCCCTCCCCCCCCCCCCCCCCCCCCCCCCGAATCCAATGCTCGCCTCTACGCCCCGCGTACACCAAGGCTACCCCCAGCGTACGTCTTATGGACGGCCCAATTCTTTTGGCCCATTTGCTTAGTCCAAACCAATAGTCCTTTTTATTCGTATTTGGCCCATCAATAATTTAAGAAATAATTAATAAATAATACCTCAAAAGACGGTCGTTACAAGACATCCCTCGATTTGTCAGCTGACCTCTCATAACTCATTCATGAAACTTCCACCTACCCTGCAACACTCGTGTATGCTAATCATACAGAACATTGGATCCTATAGATAGTCGAATACTTGATTCTACCCTAAGCCCACAACCAAACAAGGAACATGAAATAAGGCTAAATCAAACATTCTCAGGGTATAAAATCTTAGTTATCTACAATTTTGATGCATACACTAAGCAACTACAGTAATGATGTCAATTTCATATAATGTAGAACCCTAGGCTATCAGACATCATATATTCAGGAAATTCATATCATGCAATTCCTGAAGATCCCTAGCCTATCACTAGCATGATGTTCTAACATATCATAATATCAAATAACAATGTGGTAACTTGGGGTCTACTTACTACCTCCGGCTGATACATCACATTCTTTCTTGATTATTTTTGGAAACAATTTTGAAAATCATTTTTTTAAACTTTTGCAGTTCCTTAGTTTGATACTGGATTCACACGAGTTTTCCTCCAATTCGCTCAAACCAACGCTCTGATACAGCCTCGCAGGGCCTACAGCCTATCCAGACTGCTCTCCAGGCCTACGGTTTGACTGGACCGCCTTGCAGGGCATATAGTCTATCCAGACCGCCCCGGGTATCCTGGCCTTCAGCACAAAGCAGGACCGCCTCAACCCAACCAAACATAACATGTCGACATATACATAACAGATAAACATATAACTAGTCAACAGACAAACAAGCAGATCTACAGATCACTACTGCATGCTAACATCTTGTATACCTGGATACCGATCTAACAGATCTCTACAACATAATAACATACTATCATATAACAAGTTATTCGATCCAATGGGCCGGCCTTAGTTCCTTCGACCCACAAGTATAGTGACGAAGACTCACCTCTCAATCTGAACAATAGTTGATGAAGTCCCGACTCTGAATCTCAGCTCTAACCGTCACATATCCATCCAAATGACCAATTCTCAAACACAATCCAAAAGACTCAAAATACCCCTAGGTCAAACTTGGTCAAAATCAGGTAAAAGGTAAAATTCCAAAAAGTCAACCGAATCAACCCAGCTGAGTACGCCCAGCGTACGCGCGTTCTATCATCGGGGGCATAAAGGAGTACGGGCAACGTATTCCGCAACCAACTTTCCCTTTAAGTCATGCTTAATCCATTAAGACTTTCCATGGCTAGGCAAAACAAGGCTCCTACTCATAAAGTTTCCACCTTGTTGACTTTCCATGGATAGGCAAATCCCAAGAGCTAAAAACCTAACTTCTTATTCCATTAAGACAACTTAGGCCATGCATGAGAAGAAACTAGTGTCCAATCTTACATTTTTATGGAATCAAGAGGCTCCAAAACCTCTGAAATGACAACTCAAATGGATTAGGGTGACCCTCACTCATAATAAATAGCTTATGGGACTAAAAGAACATAAAATCAAGACCTAAACATGATCTAAGTATAACTTCACCAAGTTCGAAACTTTATACCTCCAAGTGATGTCAAATGATGATCTGATTCTGGATCTAAGGTGCTTTCACTCCTCCAAGATGGTCTCAACTTCCTTCTTTCTTCTTCAAAGGCACAAAACACACACAAGCCCAAAAATGCTCACAATGTAGATTAGGGTTTGCAAAAACGTTTTGAGAGGATGGTGGCTGATGGAAGGATCCAGGTTTGAGAGTTAATGAAGAATAAATAGGGTCCAAACCCTAAATATTAAGGTTTGGGACTTCACCCCATACACCCAACGTACGTGGCTCCGCCCTACATTTCCCAAAATGGCAATATTAGCCCCTCCCAGCCACAAATCTTATATTTTAAGGACCAAAATGTAATAATCTCAATATAAGGATCAAAAGCGAAAGTACTTCAAAACAAGATGTTACACATACAAATACACAAACTACATACATAATTTTCTATACATACAAATATACATATACAAAAATAATACACATCCAAAAGCACATATACATACATTATACATATTCAAATACATATATATGAATATATATATATATATATATATATATATATATATATATATATATATATAATCACATGTACATACATCATACACATCCACATATAAATACACTTCTATATACACAAAATCAACATATTATATATAATAAAATAGAAAAAAGAAAAGTTGTGGTGTGGTGGCCGTGAAGTTAAATTTCGGTGAGAACAGTGGTGGTGGCGGTTAAATGCTGGTGGGGATCGACAACAACATTTCTACCTTGGTGGGGATCTCAAATTTTCGGCAGAATACTCGAAATTCCTTCAACCAACAGGTATATTCAGTGGGGAGAGGAGGAAATGAAAAGAAAAGGAGAAAAAAAAACCGAAGTCTCACCTGTTAATGTCGCCGGAAATGGTGCTTCAGCGCCGCTGATGTGACGTCGCCGGTGATACCTTTGGGGTCTCTGGTGATGAGCTTTAATTCTGATGTTGTGGACGACGATATGGCTTTGGACGGAGAAAGTCGAGGTTTTGCTGAGGTAGAAAGGGAAATCGACCGAGGAAGAAGATGCGACAGAAGGGTAAAGAACGAGGGAAGATGAATATTATATGCGGAGGGTATTAGCAGCGATGGGCATTAGCAACGACGGTACCATTTAGTGGTGACAGACGGAGTAATAGCGGCGACACCTTTGGCGGCAATCTTTGGTGGTACTTTTTTGAGTATTAGCGGCGACACTGTTGTCAGTAATGGTATCGCCGCTAAAAGTTGTGTACGATGTGGATTTCTAGTCGTTAGATTAGACACTAAATCAATGGCTATGATTTTACCTTAACGTTTGACACATATCGATGTCGAATAGACTTTAGCGGTGACGCACACCTCTAGCGGGGACAAATAACGCGAAATTTGTTTGTCACCGCTAAAGGCTATTATTCTTGCAGTGTACGGCCAAATTTGGAAAACTTGAATCAACAATAAATTCTAATAAATAACCTTCTAAATAAAAGATGAAATTTCAAAAAAAAAAAAGGAAAACGGATATTCTGTCAATCTATCAGGTACTCCGGCCCGTCGGTACCTTTCCGTCGATATATCGCACACCTCCAAATTCTTTACGGATCACAAGTTATGTTCATTTTAAGTTGGGCCTCTTTTGGTCTTATTTGTCTTTCTCTCACTTGTCCATAAAGCTTATGTCATATCATTTATGTGCTCCCCAAAGCTTATGTCATATCATTTATGTGCTCCCCATCACTTCCAACAAGGTTGAGTTTAATGGATTTATGTTTATTACCTTGCTTGATATTGCAAAATCTGGATTTGTTTGATTATGCAATCAGAATTTTCTGTAATGTTAAAAAAACTTTCTTTAAGTAGCAGTTAGTGTCCTGGTTAATAACCTACACCAGACATTGGTCCTTAATCATTTCATTGGTCGCTAGGCTGTTGCTAAAATTTGTCGCAAATTAGTGATAAATTTATGGGCTTGTGGCCATTTGATGGGTTTCAAATTTTGTGGTAAACTTGATTGGAAAAAGCACGGCTTCATTGGTCACTGAATTTCGAAGTATCCAACGCCAAATTCGTTTTTTAAATTTTACCATGTTTTTTTTTTTTTTTTTTTTTTTTTTTTTTTTTTTTTTTTTTTACAATCTGTCGCTAAATACCATGATATGATGAAATCTTTTGATTTTTTTTTAATATTTTCAATAAGATTAAAGGCCAACCAATTCAATATACAATTACCGAAATAGAGTTGCTATAGTGTATGCCAATTCAATATACAATTACCGAAATAGAGTTGCTATTGTGTATGATGACATATTTGTCAACAAGGTTAAATGATATATAAATATACAACATTATGATCACGCAATTTAAAACATGAATGCAAATTGTCGCATTACAGAAAGGAAATAATCAATCAAACGTGTGAATCATTTACAAGTTTATTTTGGTTGATCCGTTATACGTGATTAGCTTATTCGGCGACATAGAGTGATTCCATCACCCACAGGAAGCTGACAGATCTCTACTCTTGGATCAGCAGCCAGGGCTTTGTTGAGCTCTAACACGAAGTCTCTGTAATACCTAACATACTTCCGAAGTGGGGCATCTGCAGGTGCCACCAAAGACCCATTCCAAAGGGTGTTATCATAACCAATCACACCTCCAATTTTGACTAGATCAATTAACCTTTTATGGTAATTAAGATAGTTGTCTTTATCCGCATCCACGAAAATAAAATCGAATGATCCATGGAATTTTACATCTCCTACCATTTGGTCAAGAAGAGGAAGCGCAGGGCCTTCTCTAAAGTCAATCTTGTGAGCAACACCTGCTTTCTCAATGATCGGAAGGCCGATTTCATAATTTTCACGGTTTATGTCCAAGGCCAATATCTTTCCATCTTCTGGTAGAGCAAGCGCAGTAGAAAGAAGGGAATAACCAGTGTAAACACCGATCTCCATCGTGTTCTTAGCATTTATGAGCTTAAGAAGTAAGTTCAAAAACTGTCCTTCATCAGCAGATGTCGTCATAAGATTCCTGCATTTAGTAGTACAAGTAAAACAGATTAGACAACGAAACGCACCCACAATGTTTTTATGGTAATCCTGTTACGTACTCATGATATATGTTATAACATTAATTAGGAAATGCATGCACTTAATTATGACTTACCAAGGATGTTTAGCAGTGACCTCACGTAGCTCTTTCATGGATTCTGGCTCTCTCGGGTAAACACTGGTTTCAAGAATGTATTGGTAAAGTGCATCGCTTTGAAGGAGACTCTTGTGGCCAACTTCTTGGTGTTTTGCAGGCTGAGTTTCTCCGGTGGCGGCCATTGTGAGGAATCTGTGGTGTTGGAGTATGAAATGGAGTGTGATTAATGGTGGGTTGAAATGAATCTGAAATTGAAGGATTGGGTGTATGGGAATATATAGGGAGTGGGCATGGAGGATCGGAAGGTGAAGGGATGGTGCCGGTGCGGTTGTGGTTGTGGCCTTGTTGGTGGGGTTGGTGAGAGTTAAGCTTTCATTGCAGATGTGGACTTCGCCAACCATAGTGGAAACCACGAGTTGGTAAAACTCACTTGTTTAATTCTAGTTTTTTATAATAAAAATTTATGCCAATTTAGTTGATCGGTTTTATTAAGGGTGGAGACTGGTTCCCAACCCGATGCAAACTGGACCATACCCGATTGGAACCAAAACCGAAGACCCTCAAAGGAAGAACCGAGGACTGGCGCTCCAGGAGTAAATCGGTTCTGGTTTTTCAGTTCCAATACCCACAAACCCGATTTTCCCAAACTAATCACCGATCAAGGATTGGGCTCTCAAGATAACTGCGTCAATATGTAAATGGCGAAAAGATTACTGGTATATCATTTTTTGAAGAAAAAAAATTGTTACATTTGTTATGAAGTTTTCTATATTTGATTTTATGTTTATCTAAAAATTAGAAATTAGTTAGTATGATCTTGGTAATACGCCGATAATGAATTACAAACACTTACCTTAAGTGCTTCCTTAATTTTTTTAAACAAATATAGTTACTTCAAATAAACATAAAATCAAATATATGAATACTTGAAAGTCTTTATCTATAGGTTTCATAATAGATTTAGTCTTTATTTTTTTTAGTCAATTAAGTCCTAATTACTGGTTAACTTAATCAAAACAAGGTTATTAGTAGGTTAACCGGTTAGTGAAACGTTTGTTTGCTTATGTGGACTATGGCATGGCATCTAAGGGTTAATAAATGATTTCCTTTCAGTAAAATAGGGTTTTATGCATTTGTAAAGTGTTGCAGCCGGTGAAAAACGAGAGAATAAAAAAAAACAGCTTGTTACGGTGCATCAGAAGATAATCTCCACCACGTTCTAGCTCATCGATTCCTGCAATGTATGTAAAATGTAGTAATATTTTTCCTATATTTTATTGCAGTGTCGTACGTACATGGAGGAAACAGATTACGATTCAGATGATTACGGAGAGGAATAGCTCGACACTGAACTCATCGATGTTACAGTGGAAGAAGATTTCAAACCAAAAGGGATGGATAGGTACAAGGATGCACTCTTGAACATTTTATCTGATGATGAAGATAATGAAGTTGAATCCGATGAACATAATGGCAATAAATATGCTGAGAATGGCACTACAGACGATGGAAGTACAAATAATGACAATACAGACGAAGAGGTAGATTGTAACATCCTGTTTCGAGACAACCTAAACTTGGAGGCTCGAGTGGTAATTGACATGTGAAGGTCATGGGTCTCAAAGGATCAAGTTTGGACCTTGAGGAATAAGGTTCTTGGGCTTGGTGTAATACTTTGGGCTTTGAGAGGCATTGGGATTAAATCAAATTTTGGGTCCACGACGTGGTAGAGTGATGGCCACGACGTTATGCATGGTTAATGAAAACAATGTTTCATTTGTCACCCCGACGTTACAAGATGGGTGTCACGACGTGGTGAACGCTGCAGCCCAAGCCCATAAAAATTAGGATTTCTTCCATCTTCCATATTTAAAGGCTTAAACTCTTGGATTAAGGTATCCTCTTCAGCGCCCAACCCTCCAACACGAAACCCTAGCCTCTATGCATGATTGAGAGCAAGTTTACTTGATTTTGGGGTTGTTCTTTAGACTTTGGTGAAGCTTGAGAAATGAGGGAGTCCATATTGGTGCAAGGAAGCAAGGACCAAGCTTGGATCCAACATCTTCTTTATATTTATGCGTTCTTTAAGGTATACTGTTCATACCTTGACACTTCTTCTAGATACAAGTTTGAGCTCATTTTTGGGTGGTTTTTGTCCCCTCCATGGATGCTCTTAGTGTTTGAGGAACTCCAAAGCTTGTTATGGCTCTCTTATGGTCAATAGACTTCTGATAATTTAGGAAAGAATAATGTTTGGAGTCACCTTGTGTGCATGCACAAGTTTTGGTCACATTAAGGACTTAATGGACTTAGGGTTGTAGATCTAGCCATGGGAATAACTCCTAATGGATAAAGTTGGAAAATTTATCCATTAAGTCATTGAAAAAGACCAGATCTGAAGTTATGGGTTTATATATGTAACGATTAAGCACTTAATGAAGAATATGGCATGCAACCATAAACCACGACATGGCCAAGGGCTTTCCACAATGTGGTGGTACTCAACATCTCGATTGTTTTGTCCGTAACTGGCCACGACATGGCCAAGAGCTTGCCACGACGTGGTGGTCGTTGACCTGTTGACCGTTGAATTTTTTTGACCTTTGGCCGTTGATTTTTGACCAGTTTGACCTTAGGTCAAACTTGAAGGATTTGGATTGTTGATTGAGGGTTGATATTTTTTTAGCATTAGCCGATTCACGGGCCCATTATGTGCGAGGATTTGCTAGTGTCGGTGTGTTTGTTCGGGTCTTCGTATCAGGTGAGTTTCCTCACTATACTATGTGTTACAGTGTATATCCTTGTATGTTAGGATATAGGAATAGTGGTATGTTGCTTAGAGTACAGAAGTTCAATGATCGTTTAGTTGGGTTCCCTTAGGGTTGTATGTAGTCATGTAGGATAGCCTGATAACTCTTGATCTAGGCTTTTTTGCCAGTTCCTTGTAGAGAAAGAACTGAAATCCTTCCAATTTCAAATGATAGAGAGAGAATTGAAATCCTACCTATTTCAAATGATAGAGAGAGAACTGAAATCCTTTCGATTTCAAACGATAGAGAGATCACTAAAATCCTACCGATTTTAAATGATAGAGAGAGAGAATTGAAATCCTACCGATTTCAAATGATAGAGGGATAACTGAAATCCTACCGATTTCATATGATAGAGAGAGAGAATTGAAATCCAACATATTTCAAATGGCAGGACTTCAATTCTCTCTCTATCATTTGAAATCGGTACGATTTTGATTCTCTTTATATCATTTGTAATCGGTAGGATTTCAGTTATCTCTCTATCATTGGAAATCGGAAAGATTTCAAATCTCTCTCTATCATTTGGAAATCTATAATGATGACAGCCGCATAAAGTAGGCCACTTGCATGCTGATGGATTCCTCCCTAGCTTTGTGGAATAAACATGCCAAGTCCATAGGTATCAAATGCGGCCTATGTCATTGGCTGAGAATCCCTAAAAAAATGATGACCGAGTAATACTATACCCGACATGAAGTCTAGGTTATGGAACAAGAGCTTTGGAATCTTATTATGAAAGGGTATGAGGTGAATTCTTACACCTCCCGGTTTAATGATCTTGCAAACCTTTTTCCAGGGATGGTACACCCATATTATAAGAGGATTGAAAATCAAGCAGATAATACTCGAGGCAGAGTATTCTTGATTTGTGCAGGAGACGCTGCCCAAAATCTTCCGTAGAAATGACCTCTTATAAAGTTTAATATAAGGAACCCTCGTTACGATACATAGGAACTTTCAAAACTCTAAAAATAAGTCTAGTTTTAAACGAAGGTCATAAGTCGAGATATTCGATACATCCCTGATCAGATAGATGTATCTCGATCTTAAGAAGCTTATTGATGGCCCAACAAGAAGGCAGAGATTGCCACATATGTTAGTAAATGATTGACCTGCTGCAAAGTCAAGGCAAGGTACCAGAAGCCATCGGGACTATTACAATAACTCGCAATCTCGAAATGGAAATAGAAATAGATAGCCATGGAATTCATAACGAAGTTGCCAAAAACTTCAAAAGGGTATGACACATTTGGGTATTAGTTGACCTTTTAACCAAGTCCACCCATTTCCTAGTCATCAAAGAAAATGACAAGATGAAGAAACGCACCAGAACCTATCTTAAGGAAATAGCCAAACTACACGGTGTGCCAATATCTATTATCTCGGATCGAGATAGCAGATTCACTTCTAGATTTTGGGAAATCGTTGCAGAGGTCCCTAGGAATCAAACTAGACATGAGTACTGCATATCATCCTCAAACGGATGGACAAAGTGAAAGGACGATACAAACTCTGGAATACATGCTCCGTGCTTGTGTGATAGACTTTGGTAATGCAAGGGATAATCACTTACCGCTAGTTGAGTTTTCATAAAACAATAGTTATCACACTAGCATAAAGATTGCTCCATTCGAGGCCTTGTACGGACGCAGATGCCATTCTCCGATATGTTGGGCAGAAGTTGGAGATACTCAACTGGCTGGAAAGCATGTTGGAGATACTTTACTTATTGGTCCTGAGATCAATCATGAAACAACGGATAATGTTTCTTATATAAAGGAACGATTAAAGCCCGCACATAGTCGTCTGAAAAGTTATGCTGAATTGAGACGTAAACCCCTAGAATTCAAAGTAGGAGATCGTGTCCTACTAAAGGTCGCACTATGGAAATGTGTCATTTGACTTAGAAAACAAGGTAAACTAAATCCCCGATACATAGGACTTTTTGTAAAACCTGGCAAGGATTAGTCCGGTAGCTTACAAACTCAACTTACTTCAAGAACTTAGCAAAGTTCACGATACCTTCCAAGTATGTAATCTCAAGAAGTGTCTCTCTGATGAGACCCTTGTTATTTCTCTCGTTGAGATCCATTTCAACACTAAACTTCACTTCGTAGAAGAACCGACGGAGATCACGGATAGAGAAATCAAAAGCCTCAAGAAAAGTTGCATACCTATAGTAAAAGAGCGATGGAACTCTCATAGAGGACCGGAGTTTACTTGGGAATGCGAAGATTGGATGAAACAGAAGTACCCGCAACTGTTCAGCGGTGCTCCCTCCACTAGTGGAACGAAATAATTTAGGGATGAAATTCCTTTAACAGGGAGGTGATGTGACATCCCGAAATTTAGTCTTAAAACTATAGACGGGTAATTCACCGCGAACCTCTTTGTAACCTGACCTATTGAGTTTTAATGCATATTTTGAAAAATAAATAGTGTCATTACAATTAAAATAAGACACAAGATGATATCTTACTTCCAATGGTGGAAAATCACAAACAAATCATAAAGCACAAACTGTAACCCTAGTTAATACGTCTAAAATCTGAAAATACGTATTAAACGTTTGTGAGCGAATAAAACCC